TGGAGTACGAAACGTGACTATACGCTCCCGCTGCGCTTTGACCTGCAACAAACTTCGACTGTTTGATTTTGTTTTTGTTAAGCTGTCTTGAAGCGCAATATTTCACACTTTGTCCATTACGGCTGACATTTTATTGAACGGCTTGTGTGGTGTCGTAAATATTTTTGAAATATTTTCCAATACAATATAATGGTATTGTTATTTGTTGCTTTTTTATATATATTGATAATTTTTGGTTTGTTACAAAGGAGATTTATAGGGTCGGATTATGTATGGAATAAATCATTGTTTTGAATTTGTATGAAGCATCACCAGTGATAAGCGTCTTGAAAAGGTTCTGTATCTTTTAAAAAGTTCCAGACTTTTTTTTGGACTTATACCATCAAATTTGACCCGAACTGCAATGTGTTGAGTCGATCCATATGAGATGTTGAGATGCTCTGATGTTTCAAGCACTGTTTCATTAACAGCGGTGGATGGACGATTCGCATGGGCAAGTACCCAAAACAGTTCTGCAACATTTTCAGTGATTCCAAAGTTATGATTCCATTGGAAATCAAAAGTTTCAAGCAAACTCGTTGTTAAATTCACCATATAAGCTGCTAAACATATACCTATTAATTGATATATGAAGATCGAAGCAATATAAAATATATTGTACAAATCTAGGAAAAAATTGTTTATTGATTTGGTTTACGCGCATAATTTAAATGGACCAGTTCGAGTCAAAAATCGACCTATCAATCTAATCGGAGAAGGTTTTGAAATTACCTTGCATACTTGAACTAAACCTATTCTCATATGGGGTTGCATAGCGAGGTAATAAACTGACTTCAAATACTTAACGTAAGGGTCATAGTCTCTTAAATGTCAAATAATAAGCAATAAAATTCAAAAACAAATGTTGCACAATTTGTTAATATTTTATTACTTTTTCTTTATTTATTTTTCTTGGTTTATTGCACTATATATTTATCGTATGCTATAAATTATATTTAAACTTGAAATAGCATACTTGACTGTAAAAACATATAAATTTAGTGAATGCATGTTAGCTCAAGTGTCGTATGTCAAATTAAGCTACGACAATTAAAAAATAGCATAGTTGACAAGCAGCATTAAGTTGTTTGCATTAGCACATTAGTCTACGGTATGCAAATGCTGATATATATACATAAATTTATGTATATGCACCGACCCTGTGGGGAAAATGGAATAGTCAGTAATTCATACCTATTGTTCGGCGAGTTTTTAATTATAAAATTGCTAAATAATATTTTTTAAACATATCTGTTTTTATATTAGTAAAATATTTAATAGTAAATTTGAAAAAATAAATCTGCGCACATACTCGTGTTTGCCTCACAACTTTCTGTACGATTTTTTTTCCAAAATTTAAATTTTATCCAAGCCCTAAATTTCAATTCTTAAAATATATGTTCAGTTTTAATCTGCATCAGGCAAAAATGAGTCTATTCGAAATGATTGGCTATAATTTTAAAATATTGTGACAGCTTTATTCTTCTATTATGAATAGTTTTCTATGCATGCTCTCTGAACTTACATTAACATTCCAAACGAAGGCTAAACTATTAATTAAGCAAATTCCAAGATTTAGAGTATTTTCTTTTTAAAAAAAGAGGATTTTAGAGTGTTAAAATATTATAATTATCTATATAATTTAATAAATCAATGAAAATAGCTGTAGACTCACGCTTAATTACCTAAATACCCAACGCTTTCCTATTGGGTCGTTTTATAGAATGGATTAGATATTTAGAATTTTGCATTGCCAAAAAATTTATGAACACATTTTTGAAGCATGAAGGTCTCATTAAGAAAATCACATTAGACATTTAAGATGAAAATTGGTAATAAAATGTATTGCTAGCACATTTGTTTATAGCTTTTGATATTAGGTAGTTAAACGCAACTATGAGAAGAGAATAGAAAAAATTGTTTTGCTAAACAATGCATATCGAAATTTTTTTAACTTCTTCTTATAAATATGTAAACTCGGAATGAATAAGGATGATTACATATTTCATTCATAAATCGTCTAACTATTTTAGCTGATTTAAGCTCATAAGTTTGCTTCAAAAATTGATCAAAGAATTTAAATTTGAGTGCTGATGGTGCTTCTGGCGTGATAAGTGGTCAATACAACTGACTATTAAGATGCTAGCTCCGAAAATTAAGATCGGAGCTTCTGACGAAACTATCGATTTGTGAGTCCGCGCGTTGTCCAGGTGGAACATAAAGCCTTTCGTATTGACCAAAGTTGGCTGCATCTGGGCGATTGCTTACTTCAGGCGATCCAATTGTTGATAGTAGAGGTCCGAATTAAGAGTTTGGTCGTAAGGAGGTAGCTCATGGTAGTTGATTTTCCGCCAATTCCATAAAACACATAGCAAAACCTTTTTAACCACCGCTGGCGCCGTTTCACCGTGATTCTACCACGATCGTTTTCAGTTGACGCTCTTCTAAAAGACCCACTGCTCGTTACTAGTAATCATCCGCTTTTTGGATTAACCCTACGACCTAACCTAACCATCCGCTCCAGAAATGGATCGATTTTTTTACGATTCAGCAGCGATACTCAGATCGAAATTCTATTCATTAGGGGTTTTGGAGTTGACTCATGTGCATTTTTTGTGCAATGTTTAGCTCCATGTTGGTCGCACTTGACGATTTCTATTATTTTATTAATATTGTCGATAATTGTTCTTGCAGTACGTGATCCATCTTTGACATCAAAATTACCTGAACGGAGTTGGTGACACCAAAATTGAGCTTGATTAACTGTTAGAGTGCTGGACCATTAACATTATTCACATTTTTATCTGCCTGGTTTTCGTTTTGCCTTTATGAATCACACAACCTTCTTTAACAACATAGCGTAACCCGCTTGTACTTATACAACACGAGGTACAGAATATTAAAGCCAACTAAAAACAAATATATATATAGTCTAGTCTATAAAAAAAATATTTTAAATCAATAAATATAATAATATTTTGTTAAAAACCTAATTATATTCTTCAAGCATTTATTCCAACTTGTTATAAGATTTGATTGAAATCAGCCCCGCGAACAAAAATATTATGAGCCGAAAATCAAACACACGTAAAATATTGCAACAACTTAATTCACTTTACCTGCTAACCAAAAAAAATTGTATATATAAATATTCATTATATACAACATGCAACATCCTACCTGCTACATCGACATTGATTACGAGCACAATTTTTTGCAATAACAAATTGCATTGTGAAATATCTGCGCTCAAATCCACTTCGACATAAAATCATAAAAATAATCATAAAATAAAATCATGACAACTAAATCAATTCTTAAACAGTTTGAATATTTCGCCTACATGTCCAAAGTAGCGCTGATTTCGAGCGCTAGGAGAGCACAAAGGAGTGTGTGTTATTTATGAGCGCATACAATATTCATACCTTTGTTTGAAATATTACATTTTCAATTTGTTGTGTATGAAATGGTTTTAAACACCTTCCGGCTACCGATTTGATTGCCACACTTTGAACTTGTGACCGGCATTTGTGATGCCTCAAAGGCGTTGGTTGTAACATTGTTCAACGCACGCTGATTTATTTGTCGTTAGTCACAAGTTATGAGATAAATTGAGTTGTATTTGAACGAATTTTACATATTAAACGGTGAGTGCAGTTAATCATGCAATGTAATCGACGAAAACGTTTATTTTAGTTGTGTGTTATTGTTGAAGGGTTTAGGAAAATTATAAAAAAAAATTGTGGTAATTGGTAGCATGAGTTTTAATTAGACAATACTGAAAAGTGGAGTGGTTACCATCACTTTAACATAAAGTTGCCATACAACCGATTGTTCAAATATCAGATTTTGTGTTATAACTTTAAAAATTAAGATATGAACTTGAATTGTTTTACTATTTATACCTGATGATTAATATAAAAGGGCAGCAAAAATCTTCAAAAATTAAAGGCTAAAACATATAGCTGCCATATAACTTATTGTTCAAAAACGAGGCTTTGTGGGATAAATCTGAAAATAATGCTGTTCCAAACACGAAACTCTACGTGGTATTAAGATATCGTAAGTAGAAAGAGGACTGCCAAAAATTATCAAAATCTAGTGACTACAACATAAAGCTGTCATATAGCTTATTGTTCAAAAATGAGATTTTCAATTAAAACTTCTAGGAATGTTGAGCTACATACATGCAATTTTGCAAAGAATTTTCATATTAGAACTAGACAGTGGACAGGTAATTTCAATAAGATCGGTTGGCTATAGCATGTAGCTGCCATATAACTTATTGTTCAAAAACAACTTTTTGTGTAATATTTCTCTAAATTAGATAGTTACAAATACGCTACTTTGCAATAAGTTTACTTATCATGACTAAAAAATGGATGGTTAAAATCATCAAGATTGGATTACTATAACGTATAGCTGCCATACAACAAATTGTTCAAAAACGAGATTTTTTCATATTGACTAGCTACATATTCGAAAAATGTAATAGTTTTAAATTTTTGAAGTTAAATATTCAAACAATAATGGAATTATTGTAGTATGAATTTTGAATTTTATAAGAAATTACAAAAATGATATGTACTAATTAATTCAAAACAGAGCTTAAACCAAATAAACTCTATAAATATTATATATTTACTTTCGAAAAATCACAACTATTGCGAGCCTACCACACAATGTTCAGCAGCAAAGCTCTCAGCGACTGTTACAATAACAAAAAGTAGGCATACATTTGCATATGACAGTTGCAAGCCGTTGCATTGAGCAAATATAATATGTAAGAAAAAAGTTCTCAACTCCCCACGATCAAACTCAGTTTATATTAGATACTTGATTCTGTCACGCAGCGCATGTGTGTGTATGTCTGGATGTAAGTCAGTAGGTGCGACTATTCCACCTTCAATGTTGATTTATAAATGCATTATGTTACTCACATTCCCGGCTCAGTGCAAATTTGTCATTCAATCGTGTCGCCGCTGCTGCTCCGTAAACGTATAAAATTCGTTCGGCTCGTGTGCGTGTTCCACAACAACATTCCTGTTGTCAAATTTAACGAAATCATTTGAACCAAAAACATATTCAATTCGTCTATTAAATTTGCTTATTGGTCGGCAGCAGCTCGTCACTGGACTCACCTACATACATATGTACATACTCACCGCATATACTGGTATATATGCATGTAGAGTATTGTTATAGGATTGCGTCCGTTATATGATTGCCGCTTTGCTTTGTAATACCTTTTGTTCCTGTTATTTTGTTATTGTTTTTGTTATTGTCTCGGTTTCGTGCGCGTTAATCGCTGACGCTTCGTCGATCTCGTCTAAGCAATTGAGTGTTGCTCTGTAGCTCGTTGGCTTAAGCTCAGCATTTGGTCTAACGACTGACGTACCATCAGTGCTGCAGTGGGTTTTTTGGCTGCCGGGTCTACTACTTTTGCACTGCATCGCTTAAAAAGTAGTTCAGTGAAGTGAACGGCTTCAGCAAGTGAGTGTCGCGCGTGAATGCATGGGTGAAGCACAGTATTTGAATTTAACGGTATTCTAGTAAGCAACTAACTAACGCAGGCGGACTAAGTAGTGCGTGCAAAAATTTGTGTGCAATTTAATCAAATTATTTGTAATAATTATTATTATTTCGGGTCACAAAAGGTGCTTGCTTAAAAACTTTAGTGAATTAAATAAATATAATTGACTGGAGAAAATAAAAATTTTAAAATATATTTTTTTCTGAAAAATATTTCTCTCTTTATGAAAATATATAACAAAAATTCTGAGATCCCAAAAGTTATAAAAAATAACGCCTACGATTTTTTGTACTTAATACAGCTAAAACGGCATATCGGTATTAAACAACAATAATAACTTAATTGGATTAACATATTATATAACGGTAAGTGTAGTGTATAATCAAAATATAGCAAAAACGCGGTTAAGATGCTGGCTTATTAGACAAATATGTGTTCATTTTGCTTTGATAAATTGCAGCATAAAATTTTTAAACAATCAACAACATTTCATATAAAATAAATTATAAAAATATTTCCATTTAACATGGATCTCAAATAAATCATTATTATCAATCATTAATATATAAAAAAAATGTTAGTAAATGAAACTAAATACATTTTGTTTTTTCAAAGTACAAAATATAACAAGAAAGCGATAAAATATTCTGTCGAAAATTAATAGAATTTTATTTTAAAAAAATATGAAACAAAATTTTCATTTAGTATCTTCACAATTCAATCATGTTTCTTAATAATATCACAAAAACATTAAATAAAAGATATTAAACTTTTTTTTTTATTGTGTAAACTATAATTAAAAAAGACGAAATTTTGTCGAAAGTCTATAGAATTTTATAAAAAAATATATAAAAAATGTCAATTTATTTTGATCTCAATTCAATTATGACAATAAATCAATGTATGAAAAAAAAACTTAAGTAAAAGCAATAAAAATATTATTGTTTTATTGTATAAACTACAATTATAAATGTCGAAAAAAATATTTTCGAAAATTAAATTGAAAGAATTATTATTCGGTTTAAAAGTGTGCAAAATAATATTTACCGTGAATTTTTGCTCGCATCAGATCCCATAATTTGTAGAACCTTAACTGAGTAAATGGAACTTTTAAAAAAGTTCTTAAGAACTTGCAAAAAATGCCTTAATTATAGAAATTGACTTAAAAAAATATACAGAAATTTTGCGAAATTCTTCTGTGTGAGTTTTAGTCAAGAATTTTAAACCTTTTGCTTTGCAAAATATTTTGAAAATAATTTATTACTCTTTGCCTTTCAAAAACGTATTTTGTAGAAATGAATTTCAGTTGTCAAAAGACTTAAGAACGAAACTTGATAAGAATTTCGTTCATGCTCAAATTAGTTAAGACCAAAGCTTGAACTAAATTGTAGGTGACTAAAGACCTAAGCACGAAACTCGGTCTAAATTTCAATTTCATGAAACGACACTGACGAAAAAAACTTGTTCTATATTTTTGTTGATAAAAGGCTTAAGAAGACAGAAAACTTAATTTATAAATTTCAATCGCAAGAGAGACATTAAAACGAAATCTAACCCAAAGTTGTTGCTACAACAGCTAACAAAAAAGAGTTAAAAACGAAACTTGACCCAAATCTAGAGATTTTGTACAAAAGATTTAAGAACGGAAGCTGGCACAATTTTTTAGTACAAAAGACTTAAGATCGAAACTTCGTAATATTTCATGTAATGAAATATTTGAAATTTAAATTATTTAGATATTTACTTACAGGCATTTTGTTATTTTTCTTTTTTTATTGTCGATTGAAACATTATAAATAATTTCATTAAATTGTGACTGGTAAAAAGATTTATACTAACAAGCATGATTTTTCAAAAATTATAAGATAAAGCTACAAGCGCTTTTAGGAAACTTTTTTTCAAAAACTAAATAATACAATATTTCTTATTTTGTTATAAAGAAAATTATACATTTCTTTAAGAAAAATTTCTGCAATTTCTATTTTCTATTTTCAAATTTAGGTATTTGTCATTTTGTCTATAAGGCAGTTATACATAACATATATATTTCACAATGACTTACAATTTTTTTTTTGTTTTGGCTAAATATGTTAAACGGTTGTTCGATTTTGATTCCTTCATTAGCGCAATCCTAAATGTGGACTTTATTTACTATCGACCTTCAGGGAGATTCTTAAAGCCGGCACAATTTGGCAAACTGAAACCTGTATGAAAATTTAAAAAACGCAAATTTTATTCTTTTGTCTAACTGAACGAAGATTTCTTCCGCATTAAGTATGATTTCATTAGAGCGCATTAAAATGCGCATAAAATGCACGTTATGTATCTGACAAACTTATTTATAAACTAAAAAATAATGGTTGGCTAATTAGACCACTACTACTTTTAATGCTAAATAAGGAGTCATAAACAAGATATATACAACACAGTCTTTTAAACTTACATTTAAAGCCAAATAAGGTCTTATAAAAAACAACTCTTCAGCAACTGTAATTTATATATTTTACATGTGACACTAAGTCATTGAGTTGTTCTATAAAATCAGGAAGTTCTTATCTTTGTACTTTATGCATATTTTACAACAACAATATAAATATATTTTTAAATTGTTAATGTATTAAAACTGGATTAGCAGCGTAAGAGAGCGAGCACTTGCAGTTAAGTATTGCTTGTATGCATTTTTTTTTCTTTTTTAATAAAAATTTCTATGACAAATGGCCGAACATGCAATTAACTGCAATCTCGCATATTTCAGAATTAATTTTAAGGTTAGTGATACCTCGTCTAAGTATTTATGTTATATTTACATATCAACATTTGCAGCGTACTTTTCCTTTCATAAATAACGGTCTAAAGAACTTGCCTGAAATTAGCCGAGTGTCTGCATAGATAAGCAGGCATACTCCCTAACGCATTCTTGTCGCTTTGCTCAAATGTATCAAATAATGGTTTTAAACAAACAACAACAAAAATATATATATATATATAAAATAAAAAATAAAAATAATAAAGGCCCAAATGGTCTGCGCTATGAGCATGGTGACAAAACGACTAGAAATTCGCAGATAATGCATATAAAGAGAGGAATGGTTTGATAGCGATTTCTTGTGTAGATGAAATCAGATCTATAATATCTATTTTTATAAATTGGTGGCACATATTATATTACAATTTCTTTGAATACGGAAAACGAGTTTCAATTTTGGCTTTTGTTAAATTTAAAATTTCTTGGGAGACACGGAAATAAACTTTTATGCATAACGGGAAGGTATAAAGATTATTAGAATGAATATAATTTTTAGTACTAAAATTAGAACACAATTTTTTTTACTTTGTTATATTACTTTTTGTTTTAGTACAATGCTTTAACTTTTTAATGCGCTGCATTTAGTCTTAAAATAATATATATGCGGTAGTCATAAAGTTAAGTTAGGTTAAAGTTCTAAAAATGTATCAAAATTAAATTGCAAAAATTCTATTGTTTCAACTTTTGTGCTAAAATCTTTGACTACCTGATTTGTAGTACTATATATTTTAATACCATAAAATGATTTTACCAATTTCTATTTCCTTCATTTAATATACAAATTTTGTTTTTAGTACCAAAACTTAAAAACGCTTATTTTCAATTATATAAATTTAGCACTAATTTGTATAAATTAGCTATAATGTTATATATTATGCAGTAAAATTCTAAATTTGATAAAAAAAAAATGATATGTTAAATTAGTTCATAATAATGGAAATTAATTTATAGGTTAGTACTAAATTTAATTTGCGCTATTTTGTTTATGCTAAGAAAATGTTTATGCATGGTAAATACTTATTGGTTTATAAAGTATATTACCAACTGTTTCTATTTTTATTACTAACTAATTTACATATAAATTGGCTTAAACTCTAGACAGCAAGAAAACATCAAGTCTAAGGCCTTAAACTTTGTAATATGGGGAAACGTGCTACATAGGAAACCATTTTTGTTTTATAATTTATTTAGTACTAAACTATACGTTCTAAAATCAAGAAGTATCCTTGCATATAAGTACTAAAAAAGTTTGGACCTAAATAAGTATTTTGTACCCTGTATAGTGTACTAAAATTATATACATAATTTGTTAAAGAAATAATTAATTAATACTTTATTTACATATATGTATATATATATATTCTCTCAGAGTTCCTAGGTGGAACAAAAGGTCTCTAATTACACTATATCAAGAGATAAAATATGAAGCTCCACTATAAATACAGATATAGGCAAAGTAACTTTTTATTTGGTTCCAGACTTAAACATTTTCGTAATATTTAGTACTCCGTTTACAACATTTTTTAGTACTAACTTTTTATTAAATTTACTGTGAGTGGTGTACTAAAATTATGTACAAAAAAATTAATAACTGTAATTAGATATGACTTTAGGTGGAAATTGAGTACACAATCAAACGAAAAAATATGAAATTCCAATATCTGTAAATTTATAGGCAGAAATAACCTTGAATGTACAAGTATTTATAGTTCCAATTTCAAATACTGTCGCTATAAATTTTTAGTACTCTTTTACAACATTTTTTGGCACTAAATTTTTTTAAAATTATCTGTTTATTAATCTAATTTTTTTTAGTACTAATTTAGCTCTGTTGTTCTAAATTTTAGTTATCTTTTACAGAATTAAATACAGTCCTATTGTATTAAATTTTTGGTTTGTTGATTAATTTTTTATACTTTCGTTTAGTTTTCCTGTTATAAATTTTTAGTACTACTTTTTAGCGCCACTTTTTAGCACAACTTTTTTAACTAAAATTTTGTGTTTATTTATTTAAATTTTTAGTACTAGTTAAGTTTATTTGGTCTAAATGTTTAGTACTCTTTTTAGAACAATTTTTAGTACTAATTTTTATTTTTTTTAATATTTTTTTTACAAATTATATTTTTGTGTTTTTTTACCTAATTTTCCTTAGCCAAAATTTCAATTTATTGTAATAATAGCCGAAGCCTTTTATAACTTCTTAAGATTTTTTTCTCTAATATAATTTTTAAAAATTGGTTATGAAATTTATGAGCATAAAAAATAGAATTAAAATAAATTAGTAAACAAATTAGCAACCACACATTAAATATTTGACTTCAAAGTTTTATTGCTGAGCAAAGACTGAATAGCTTTCTTTGTCGCTTTTAGACACTCATTGTAAAGTCAAAGAATTGTCGGTAAAATGAAACAAATCACAAAATATTCCGTAATAATTTGTGACATTCATATCTGTAAATACACTCCATTCTAACTGCTATTTAATTTTATTTTTTATTTTTTTAGCCTTCACAAAAACCGCAATCTTTGAACTAGTAAGGCTTGACAAAATTTTAGCAC